TCAGAGAGCGGTCGTGTCGGGATCGGGATCAAGACAGGACTGGTGACTCGAGTCGGCTCGAGTCCCCTATTTATACCCCGAGTGAGGGCGGTGGGGGCTGCCCCACCGCTCGGACACAGGAGTGCACGTTGAATAGGTGCTAGGTGGCCGTCAGGGCCGTAGCGCTAGTGACGAATACGCGTATCGTCACAAACTTAACCTAATCATGACAAAGCCTAACGCAGCTATGTCCCTTTCAAACTGTGAAAACTTTATAAAATGTACGACATTGGAATAACTGTGAAATTAATGAAAATAATTACCTGATGCATCTCCAATCAGTAGATTTTGAGAGCAACGTATTGCCGGCAAACGAGATAAATATATATATATAAACGCCCGCGTCGAACGGTGAGTTGCGCCGCCCCTGCCTACCATCTGTACGCGCCCCGTTATTGGCTAAATATTTTCTGCAATAATTCAAAAAGTAAGCTTCGGACAAAATTTTCGTAGAGGAAAAATCGTCTCAGAATTAATTCAAGAATACGTTTTTACAAGGACGCGGGGTTGTTCAGAATCACCCTGTATATATAATATATCAAGCGTTGAAGAGAGAGAAAGCGAAGATACTGACTATGCTGAGTGCAAAAAAGTGCAACGCGAACAGATCTTAGGTCTGTTTTTCTGTCACACTCTATAGTACTGTACTTCTTGTACGGTTTATATTCTTTTTTTTAATGTAAAAAGAAAAAGAAAAAAGAGAGATCGTGAAAAATGTTTAATGCTGGAGTGTGAAAAAAGAACAAATCTCTTATAAGGATATTATTTATTATTACATTTGTCGTATGGCAAATTTTGCAAGTATGTTGATTGACTGTAAGCTGTAAGATAAATATTTCTAGACTCGAGAACTTACGTCTTATAAGTTAGCGGAACAAAGTGAGCAGAATCGATTCTAATTAATATTTTTATTTGTTGCTCATTTGTTGCTAAAAAGTTGCCAAAGAAAAAAATTTGTTGCTCTGTAATTTTTTTAAGAAACGATGTTCCGCTAGAAGAAGATTAAGTTAGCGTGACAATATACATATAATAACGAAATTACACATAACAATAACGTAAGAATTTGTTACTAATTTGTTGCTCGCAAAATAAGTGTAAATAGCAGCGGAAAACCTCAGCGTGCGGACAGTTATAAGAATAAAGTATCAAAAAAAATTTGTTGCTCGTTTAAATTTGGTACTGGCGTATTGTCTGAATTTGTTGCTCTCAAAATATCCGAGTTCCGAATTTGTTGCTTGCAAAATAAGTATAAACAATAGCGGAAAACCTCAGCGTGCAGCTAGTTACAAGAGTAAAGTATTAGAAAATGTTCGTTTAAATTTGGTACTGGCGTATTGTCTGCATTTGTTGCTCTCGAAATATCCGAGTTCCAAATTTGTTGCTTGCAAAAATAAGTATAAACAATAGCGGAAAACCTCAGAGTGCAGCTATAGTACCAAATTTAAATGAGCAACTTTTTTTCTAATACTTTACTCTTGTAACTAGCTGCACGCTGAGGTCGCTGAAGTTTTCCGCTATTGTTTATACTTATTTTGCAAGCAACAAATGCGGAACTCGAATATTTTGAGAGCAACAAATGCAGACAATACCCCAGTACCAAATTTAAACGAGCAACAAATTTTTTTCTCATACTTTACTCTTATAACTGTCCGCACGCTGAGGTTTTTCGCTGTTATTTACGCTTATTTTGCGAGCAACAAATTAGCAACAAATTCTTAAGTTATTGTTATGTGTAATTTTGATATTATATGTATATTTTTACGCTAACTTAATCTTCTTCTAGCGGAACATCGTTTTTTAAAAAAATTTATAAAGCAACAAATTTTTTTCTTTGGCAATTTTTTAGCAACAAATGAGCAACAAATAAAAATATTAATTAAAATCGATTCTGCTCACTTTGTTCCGCTAACTTATAAGACGTCAAGAATTTCTTTATCCTACAGCCAATCAATACGCATGAAACATTGATCGTATATGTAATAATGTGTAAATGGAGACAAATCTTCGATTTTTTCTGTAGAAAACAATTTAAAGCAACATTTTACTATTAAATTTAAATATTAGGTGGAACCAATACGATAGATTTACTCTTACAAAAAAATGTAGTCTATACATTTTCTATCTTCTCTATAACACAGATACACAATTTGCTAACACAGTTTTGAGATATGTATATGTATAAAACAATTAGTAAAGTTATATTACAGTATCACTTATTTGGCTTCCTTTTTTAATTAACATTCAATGCCTTTAAAAAAATGTATTTATAGTATTCATACACAGTAAAAAATAATACGTATTTTAACATTTTTTACGTGTCTCAGAAAGTTAACACTCTAAATTTTAACCCATTGGCTGTGTAAGAGAATTTTACTATTTGGGCCAAAAGTGTGTTAAAAAAAAAGTTCATCGGATTATTATGAAACTTGATACCCTTATGTTTTTTGGGTCTCTGAATACGAATATGATGTCAGATTTACAAAATTCAAAATGGCGGGTCCAATATGGCGGATCAAAATTACAAAAAATAGACGAAATTTTATTATTATTATTTTGAATTTTGAAAATCTGACTTTATATTCGGATTCAGAGACCCAAAAAACATATTGGTACCAAATTTCATGAAAATCAGACCTTTTTTGTAATTTTGATTCGCCATATTGGATCCGCCATTTTGAATTTTGTACATCTGACTTTGGATTCGTAATCAGCGACCCCAAAAACCCCCGAGTAACAAGTTTCAAGCAAATTCAGAAAGTTTTACTTTGTTTTTTTTTACGTTGCGGCTATAGCCGTCATACACACTCTTGGTTACTTTTGTTTTTGCGGCTATAGCCGTCATACACAGTCAACGGGTTAAGTTAAAACTCATTCATCGTATGTTACTTGTTGACAAATTCGAAATATTAATTAATTCACATTATACTTTACATTTATATTTGTTCTTTTGACTTTATTTTTCAAGTTATATTAACATATGATATTAATTATTTTACTTGAATTGTATGTAATAGAAACATTTAATTTTAGTAAATTTAATTATTTTGTGTGTCAAAGTTTACGATTATTTGAAAATTTACTTTAACTTTTGTTTATGTGCTAAAACAATTTTAAGACATGTTGATTTTTTAAAGTAATTGTGTTAAAAGAACATAAAATAATATTTAATTTCTAAAAGTGTTAAGTTATCACGTTGACACAAATGTAAAATGTTGTAACACATGAAAATGTTACGAAAATAATAACATAGCTGTTGTATGTTAATTTTACATTAAAATAATATAATCAAATCTTAGTAACATAAGAAAATTTTAACATATGGATCGCTATGTACACACGATTTTTTACTGTGTAAAGTAAACTATGACATGTTTCTTTTAGTCCAGTCAAAATACGATTAGACCTAGAAAAAATTGCAACACAAGATTTTATTACGTCATTGTGTTCAGAAAAATATACTAAACAGCATATTCAAATTCCGCCATTTTCCGCTATCTCTAAGTATGTTTTTTATTAACAATTTATAAACAAATTCGTTTTTCTCCACAAATACGATGAATTTTGAAATTTTTGTACAAATCAAAGTTGTAGAACAGACAAATATCTACAAAAAATGTTCTTATAAATTTTTTGAAATATCTCATATTATTTGAGATATTTGCAACAAGAGCTACTAGGCTACGCGCGGAGCGGAGCGGAGAGTTCTAACAAGCACACGGCAGT